TTTTGGCGATTATGTTAATTTCACTATCTATGCCTAATAAAGAATTGCTTGGCACATCTTGACAATTTACTTGTTCACGTTCATTATCGCATTTAGTTGTCACTGGTGCTTTCATCGATTTCACTCGATTTGATACAGCCCACTTTTATCGAATTTTGACCAGCTTGATTTTGATTCTCACTTAGTATTTATAGTACTTTTCACTTAGGCGAGTAGGCAATGTGTTCCTACTACGACGTATTACAGTATTAGTTATAGCAATTTCCCTGCTTCGCGGTTTTCAAAAACTTTTGCTGTTAAAATTTGAAATTTTCAAATTTCGTTGCCTTATTACTTTGTGAAAACAAGCTCAATTTTAAATCTGTTTTCTATTTTCATAATCTATACAGTTCAAAAAGATTCTAATAATGTAAACTCTCATTTTGTGACAGGGGCACTTTAACGCATCGGAGGAGCCACAACAAAAAGAGGATCCATTTGAACTCTAGCTAAAATTTTGTTTGACTGATATAAAGTATAATGTTAGGCAATAGTTTTATACCATTTATGAACCTATAATATATGGGAATGCGATAAAAGATTATTGTTATTGTTATTGCACTAGGCAAATGAAAACCATACAATAAATGTTTTAGTTCTTGTTGGTATCAGTTTTGCACACATGCACGCTTTACTGTTATCATGAATTTTGCTTACATTACATAATTTTGAAACCATTTTTGAGGTCACCTAATCGCTTTTATGATAAAAAATACTCATTATAAATGGGTTAATTGTTAATAGTTCTATTAAACAAACGAAAAAGAACGAACACGGAAAGTTTCAGTTCGATCAATGTGCGCGAGGCTTTAGCTTTATTAAATCGCGCGAATTTAAAGCCGAATTGAAAGTGAGTACGACGCGAATTTTAATACAAGTAAGGTATAGAAATACCAAGTCAGTTTTTGTCCCAATTATTGTTTTAATGGTACCTTCAAGACTACCCCTCTCGCAAAACAAGTGAACAATCGTGCACGAGGAGACAAAATCTATTTGGTGACATTTTTGTTTAATACGTCAGCTTCAGATGACCATTCATTTGTAATGATTAAGATTGTAGAAAGAAATTGTGGGCAGGTGAATATATGAATGTAGGCCGGTAGGATTATTACATATAATTCTAACAATGGACATATCTCAGAGATATATTTTTACAGACCGTACGTCATACTTCTGCGAAAATCGGTTGACATGTCATTACATGTAACTGCTTGTAAGTTAATATGTGCAGACAACAGTCCACACTGGGTTGCTATAGGGATATCTTTACATTAAGCCTGATCATTAAGACGTGCATGCGGAAAGCACATTGACATCTAGAATGAACACTATATATAAACTCATCGCCTTGGAACATCGCCACACGAACAAATAAACTGTAAATCATGAAATCATATTGTTTCAATTATAGAGGTATTACCTCTATATCGAAAACTAAACAGCAGAGTTAAATATAAATGCCTTCATGTATATCACCAGGAAGAAATAAAGCTAACCTTAATCCTTTCCCTAACCCTAACCTAACCCTATGCCAAATTTGTTTCTAAACCAATCTTGAAGAAAAAAGTTTTGACGAAATGTCATTCTGAGGTCAGCGAAATAGTATTTACCGTCCTAGCAGGGCCTTTTTAAGGATTTTCCCGTGGGGGGCATTTTTTGAAAGGGGACCTTTATGTGAGATAATATATTAGAGGAATATATTAGAGGGGGATAGGCAATGGCTGAAGGCTATGTGTGTGGCCGACATACCACGCATGTGTAGAGGGTCTGGGGACATACTCCCCCAGAAAATTTTTGAAATTTGAAACCTTGCAATGCCATTTTCTGCATTCTGAGCATTCCAAATTTGCTCCAAAATTTATGCTAACTGTACTTGTATTTGAAATAAAAGAAGGAAAAAACGCACCAAAAATATAATAATTATTTGTTATAACAATTTATCATTACTTAGTGGTAGAAAAACGTACAAATTAAATCGATTTTGTTAAACAAGGACTAAGGATAAAGCTTTCCGTTTATCTATTTGTTATTCTTCGCTGGTTTTTTGTATAAATTTAGGAAAAAGGAACTTTGCCTGGGGGGGGGCAAAATGTCATTTGGTGGGGGGGGCACAAGGGGGGACTTGTATGCCAAAAAAGGCCCTGGGTCCTAGGGTCCAGGATTTGGGGCAATAGGCCATTTTTTTCTTCAGTGGTGGTTCAGAGGAAGGGGCCCAGTGGGGCAAATGCCCCACCAGTCCATGGTATTAAAAAATGCCTTGCTTAATAGAGAGATTATGGTAATTACGAACATAATATATTATGTGAGATTACGGCCTCAGTGCCCACAGCAATCAATTTAGGCGGGTCTATATATAACCCACACTAACCCCCTTACAAAACTATGAATACAAAGATGGTTGGCCCTAATACAAACATGGTAAGAATGGTCTCTAAGTGGATATTAGCAATTACAGGAATGTAAAAGTATTTGCAGCTACGTACACCTCTGAAAGTAAAGTATTTTCAGTTATACCTTTGGGTGGTGAGAAATGCAAAAACATCACTCGTTCATATCCATAGGTGGAATTTCCAGGAGTAGACATCCACAGAGAAAGATACGCACTACTTCCAGTGTATGCCGGTATTTTAATGGCAGTTCATGGTATGATACAAACATATTTAATAACAAAAAACGAAAAAAATATTTACAACAAAATTGCAAGTTTGAGTCAAAAGCATTTTGCTTATCTAGGACTCGCACTTGCGGACACACACAGAAATAAGAATAAGAATTGGTCAAACGTTTGGTATGGAGAAACGATTCGTATCGATTATATACTTCTGAACAGCGGCGAAAACTTCTCCAGAGCCGTGTAAACAAAGTTTAAGCTTTCCATACTCACTACTGTTTGACCAAACGCTCTCCAACAGTTGCATAGCACAAGTAAATAACACAGTTCTCTGAGCAGCATATCGTGGACATAAAATAAAATAGTGAAGCACAGATTCCTCACGATACCCACACGCGCAACTTGGTGATAACTTACATTTTATCCGAAATAAATAACTATTTAAGCCGGAAAATCCAAATCTAAGACGAGTATGTAAAATTGAAGCGTATCTTGTTAATGAATACTTGTATAAAGGGCATGGTGTAAAAGTTTCAAAATATATACGTTTGAGTGCACTCTTGTAGGACGAGAAAACACCGTTTCTTACATCATTGTCAAGAGTATTCCACAAACACACAGATGACGGCAGAAAAGCGGAGTTATAAAATCTTTGAGAGCGACTAGAATATAGAGATAAATTGTTGCTTGATCTCAATGTAAATTGCGTCCGTTGATATGTATATGAAGGTAAAAGATCTATCAAAAATAACGGTAATTGATGATGAATAATTTTATAGAAAAACAACAATTTTGTTAAAAAACCTTCGAGTGATGAGCTTTTGCCATCCCAGTTCTTCTCTAAGTCGCTCGTAGCTAGTGCCCTTGATTGCTCCGCATACAACTGACGCGAGAGGCTTCATATTGTATACTTTCTAATAATTGTACTTCGCGGTCCGCACAGTCTGCCCAAATAAAATCTGCGTATTCTAACATTGGCCTTAAGAGACTTTTATAGAGTCTATCCAAAGTTTGTCTTTCCAGTCGAAATTTTAAGGACTTTAACATATTTAAGCGTGTAGACGCCTTTGTATGAACTTCCAATATATGTTTTTTCAAAGATAAATTATTTTGTAATGTTAAACCTAAATGTGTGTGTGACGATCCAAATACAGTTCAGGATGGAAAGGTTTATTCTTTTTGGCTGAAAAGACAATAGCTTCGCTTTTTGAAGGGTGCATAGTTACTAACCATTTTTGTGACCAATTTCAAATTTTTTTTAGATCATCATTCAAAGTAAATGCCGATTCGTCTGGAGAATCAACGATCTCTAACAATGCAGCGTCGTCTGCAAATAACAACGGGATTGATTCAAGACCCTCTGTAATATCATTAATATAAACTAGAAACAATAACGGTCCTGGTTTCCATTCAGAACTTTGTCCTTCAATAACCACTCTTTGTTGTCGGTCACATAAATAGTTTTTTATCCAATTTAATAAGGGGTCTTGAACACCTAACTTTTGTAATTTAAAAAGCAAACCAGTATGCCAAACACGATCGAAAGCCTTACTAACGTCCAAAAACACCACCCTTACTTCTTTACCATCATCCAAGGCCTGGTGGATTTTATGAACCAAATACGTTAATTGATTAATAGTGGAATGGCCTTGTCGAAAACCAGATTGTAGAGAATAAAAAAAGCCAATATCAGCAAAAAAACTGTATAAACGAGTAAACACTACTCTTTCGGCAATTTTTGAAAGAGAGGGTAGTAGCGAGATTGGACGATCATTAACCTTAAATTGACGATTACCTTTTTTAAACAAGGGAATTACATTTGCCAGTTTCGATGATTGTGGAAATTGGCCTAATAAATCATTAAATTAATTAAATAAGTAAAACTTTCATATAAGCCTTCGGCACACATCTTAATAACTTTGTTCCCAATGCCATCATGACCACAGGCTTTCGACACATTAACATTTTTGAAAAGGGATAATACTTTGAATATGACACAGAAATTAAGCTAATACGTTTGTCACTTGGGAAACTGACTAAATGTGGTAATTCGGTATTGTTATCATATAGATGTGTTTGACTAAAATGATCGTTAAAAATCTGGGCTTTGTGTACTGGATTCTCAATAGTGATTCCGTTTTCCGGCCTTAAGTGCTTGGATGTTTGAAATCATCTTGCCACACAATTTACCAGATATACTCCACCATTTTTTTGGACCGACTTGAGGATCACAAAGCAAATCGTTAGATTTTTCATAAACGAAGCTTTAGCACATCGAATTATTGATGTTGTCCGGTTACGCTGGCGCTTGTAATTTTGCCATGATAATACAGTTTTAGTCCTATTATGCTTACGTAATAAGCGATCTCGCTTGCTTATCGCTAAATGTCAGTACCTTCGAATTCATCCACGGTTTATCATTAGGACTAATAGTAACTACTTGTTCAGGTAAGTATTGATCTAAAACCCTATTAAATCCATCAAACCATTTGTTGCATATCTCATTTATATCAATAGTACTTCCGGCACTGAGTTGATCGTCCATACAATTATTTTTGAGTGCCTCATTTAAACTGCGAACTTCAACATTGGAAAAACGTCTAATCGTTCTACGGAAACTTTTAGCCTTGCGCTGTGTTACATTTACCAAATATAGATGAATGATCACAATTGGAGGAGGGCTTAAAATACCTGACGTCACAAAATACCCAGGCGAATTTGTTATAATAAGATCCAACGTAGTAGAGCTATGATTAGTTACGCGTGTTGGTTCGTTGATCAGCTGCACCAGACCATTACCTGCCATAAAATTATACAATTTTGCACACAAGTCGTTATTTGCGTTTTGACTAACGTTAATATTAAAATCACCTAAGATTACTATGGTACAATGAGGATTAAGCATAATAATGCGATCTAAAGAAACTTGAAGATTACTAAAGAATTGTTCAACCTCTTCACTCCTGTTATTTGGTGGTCTGTAACATACCGCACATAAGAACTATTCATGTTTTAGCTTAGTTAAAATCAGCCCATAAAATTTCAATGCTATCCAATTCCAAATCCATCCTTCTATTTACAGCAATTGAGTCAAAACAATATAATGCAACACCACCGCCTCGTTGATTTAATGATCTCAGTGTCACGTCTTAGTGGAGAACCGCAACCTGGTATGGCAACTGCAACAATTTACAGTGGTGGTTAAAGGGCTTAAAAATTCTGCAACCTATCAGATTTCGACTAGCTGACTTCACATATTTGCAAGAAAGAATCCACTTATTTTTAATTAGCCTGCGTATTGTTTCGGGCTTTGGATATGTATGGTGCATGGTGTATGTCAGCAGGTGAAACATTAACATATGAAATACTACAGGGCGTATTAAAAAGAACTGAACCCTTTCAAATTCAAATTAGCTATAACGTATTGTAGTAATTTGACAGCTCTAATTGCCTTGAATTAATAGTTGGGTAAGAACACACGGATTACTGTATTTCTTTTAAATTTTCTAATTTTTTTTAAATTTTCTAGTTTTGTCCCATGAGTACAAGACCTAGTGTTCTTATCCAACCATTAATATAAAGCAATTAGAGCTGTCAGATTACTACAATACGTTATAGCTAATTTGAATTTAAAAGGGTTCAGTTTTTCTTTATACACACTGTATACTGACGGTTGATTAACATATAAAACACAGGAAAATTAGGGAAAGAAAAAAGTAATTTTCTAGTTTTGCGAACTCATTAACCAAGTAAATATGCATGCGTTCCCCTCAAACAGAACAACATCAACAACAACCAAATTATATAATGAATTATATTGGCCGCATGCATGCTGCCATATTGCTTTTCTAATTCATAATAACTTACAGTAACAAGTCCGAATAGTAGATAATAATAAAAATAATAATAATAATAATAATAATAATAGTATATAATCTTAAGATAAATATTAATGCCCATGCAGCATAAAATACGTAAAAGAGCCATAACAAAAATATAGTTTAAATAGTATATAACTGCATAACTACGGTTAGAATTGAAATATTATGGTTCGTTCCCCATATCCAATTCACGTTTTGCAGACTGGGAGACGATTTGCCGACTGACAGACGAGTGTTTCACCCCTACACCCCTCTCCCTCTAGCGCCGCGCTTGTAGATCATTTAAAGCAAACGAACTAGGTATTTAAACTAATGACATCCCAAACACGGACAGAATGCAATATCAGTATACTTGAACAACTATTGTTCAGTTGTCGTATATACTATAAATTATATCCATTTAATATCTACACCCTCCTGTTGAGGAGATTTTCCGAGCGGGTCTAAAAGTTATGAATTTCTGAGGGGGTTTTGACAAAAAATGATATGGTCTGCACATTATAATTAGTTTAAATGAGTGACTATTTGACCGGCAGCCGGTCATCGATCTTTCTCGACATGTCTCAATTAACGTATAACGTTCTGTGACTTTTGGGTCATATCTTCGGTTCGATGCATGTTATGAAGAAAAAAATACCACTATTCGATTCAGTGAAATATCAACTAATTCCTCACGATAGTTGCGAGGCAGCGTATTCTTGACACATGGTGGTTTCGCCATGCTCCACTAGACACAGTCTTCAACGCGATCTATGTACATATAATCAAGAAATCGATCTTGTGTAAAGATGTTGTATAATCACGGGGGAATAATTAAGAGTCAGGAACGTTTGTTAAATGGGAGCGGTTAAAACAAGATTTTGTATTGCGCACGCACCTCCATGTGCTCAACTTCCTCGAGATTTTTCAAGCTTTTAAATACGGATGCAAGAGATCGAAAATATTCGGAAAAATTCAAGTATTAAGTATGGTTCTGAGTCTTTCTTCTAAAATACATCAAGGTGATGACCTTTATAGTTTTGAATCTACAGGCAGACAATGTGCTTTTATAAGTTTATCGGCAGTTTTGACAGTTCAAAGTATCCAAATGATCGATTGGTCAAAAACAACATTAGTCTAGGACCTGTATATGAGTTCGTATGCGTTTCATTTACCACAGGAAATCTCAACGTTTTAGGGTAAAATGACCATGGCGGTCAACACCTGTGCCAAAACCTGAAACCGGGACGAAAGTCCTGAAAATGACCCCGCTCTGAAACGGCAGTGCCGACATAGCTCTAACTTCCGAAAAGCAAAAGCGACATCCTTTCTGAAGTGCTTATAGTGTGTAGAAGGGTTGCTTTTAGGCGTGGTTATTGCAAGAAAAAATTTGTGTAAGTATAATATTTTACAAGAAAATGACCATTCATCACCCCAGGTAAATTGCTAATTATGCATAAAATAACTAATATACATGGCAGAAATTAAATATCCTTATTTGCTAAAAAAATTATCATGGGGTGAAAAACTATGCTTAATTTAATATAATTATTGTAGTTTTCATAAGGATAGTCATTGTTTTCTATAAATATAATATATTTTATTTCACTTACCCCCCACGAAAACACGATTTCAGCCATATTTTGCCGTCTTGTTTGCTTTATATCGCCGTGTCTCGCAAATAACATCCAGTTGTTGTACTTTTACATAATGGTGAACGATTAATTAAAGAAGATTCCAACCAAGTTTCGGCTAGTTTTGAAGCAGTGCAGTGTATTTTATCTTCGATATTGTGTCCTTCCACATTTCGTCTAATATGCCGCCATTTTAATGGCTCGCCGATTCTCTGCCCGATAAATGCCACTTCATCGTCTTCATATGTATTTAGATTACAGTATCCAAGAGTACTTCATTGTAGAATAGTCCTAATCGAAAAATTGAAAACATTAGTTCCACTTGGAAGGAAAAAACCTCCCATAACAAATTTAGGATGGAATAAAAACAAATCATTTGAAAGTCACGCGCAATCTTCGCGAAAATTCCTCGTGGCTACTTGACAGGGGGGGGGGTCGAATATTTTCACGAAGAGTTGTTCGCCAACAGCGACCTAACTGGATATATTATATTTATTGTATTTTTATGATTGATAATAAAAATACGTAGATTTTTACTGTTTTAATCTTTAAATAATAAAAATTAATACAATTATTACAATATACTTAGTTGAAACTTGAATTGCTGTGGTGGCTAACGAACGTTTCGTGAAAATATTTGCCCCCCCCCCCCCAAGCAACCTTTCTACACACTATAAGCACTTCAGAAAGGCTGTCGCTTTTGCTTTTCGGAAGTTAGAACTATGTTGGCACTGTCGTTTCAGGGCGGGGTCATTTTCAGGACTTTCGTCCCGGATTCAGGTTTTGGCACATATGCCATGTTGACCGCAATGGTCATTAATTTTACCCTAAAACAGTTGAGATTACCTGTGGTAAATGAAACGCATACAAAGTCCTATACAAGTCCTAGACTACATTGAATAATGTATTATTTATACCAGGGGACGAAATGTACTTGCAATCTCTGGTTAATGGCTCAATTGTTGTCTTAATAGAACCTTGTGTCGAATTCTTATCTTTAGATAACTTAGTTACCTAAGTTGTCAGTGTTTCAAGTTGTACGAACATGTTTTCTTACCAGATATGTGATTCTGTGATCAACACGTACCTAATGGACCACGTACCTATAGTGCATGCAAAAACAACTACAACACCTGTGAATCTCTTTGATGCACAAAATAACATTGAACAACCCATGGTGGCAGGACAAAACAGTAACAGTGTACCCATTATAATAGAGCCCATTGAGGCACAAAATATCATTCGACTACCCATTGTGGTAGAGCCCAATGAGGCACAAAATCAGTGACGTAGCTAGAGGGGGGCTGGGGGGGGCACCCCCTTGTAAAATTATTGCCCCCTGAGAAAATTCATAGTTAGACTGCATGATTCAAACACCGAGGGCTTTTCCTTTTTCTTTGTTAAAACACGCGCGCTAAATTTCTTTGCTCAATTTAATTTTCGGTGTTTGGAAATCCCAAATCTCGCGACCTGGCTTGATTTGTAGTCTCTTGATTGAAGGCAGAGTGTTCCGATCAATTTCCGAGAAAACGAGCGTATTATTATGTGTCTCACCACATACACGGTCTCGCAAAAAGTAAATACGGCGTGCGGATTGTAAATTTTGTATGTTTGCTTTAAAATTTCTACGATATGTGATATGGGACCGTCTTCAGCTTCTTCTCAGTCACAACCATTATCAAGGTCATTGCTCGAGCGTCACCCGAAAAAGAAGCAAGGCATACGAGAAAGATCATATGACTCGTTTTCCTGGCTGGAGTATTTTGAAAATGCCAATGCATGTTTTTGTTATGCATGTTTTGTTGCCACAAAGTTGCAGAGATATCATTTGAACAACTCAGATGGGAGTGTAACGTTTTTCGTCGTGTGATGAAGGAATTTAGCGACAAACAGGATAAATTACATGAGAAAGCACTCGAGGAGAATTTGAAACAAGAAGCAATGGGCGAAAAGGTAGTAAAAGTGAAAAACGAAGACAAAATGACACAGATGACGCGATTTGTTTTAACATTGGCTGGGGCTGAAATTATAAAACAGGTTTATCTTGTTGC